GGAGCCAAGGGTGAATTTTAAAAAAATTTAACGACCTGTTCACTGTCCTAATGACTGTTTTAAGTAAACAAACAAAAACTAAAAAAAAAAAAAAAACCAAAATAAACCACCAAAGGGTAGCTTATTATTTCAACATGATATCAAATTTGTGATTTCCACATTAGGTGAGTGCCCAACCTTAGAGAGAACCGTGGTTACAAGTGCCATTTTATCAGCTGGTTCACTGAACTCAACAACAAATTAGGCATCAGTTCTGCAGAACTGGTGCACACCAGCTGAATCCCATCCCTGGCTAGGGCCTAGAAATATTCCTTCCAATTCTTAGAATTTCTGACTGTGCAATTAATGTAGAGTGGATACCTTTCAGACTAAGGATCTCTTGTGCTGGTGTCAAAGAAGCAGAGATGTAGTTACTGAAGGTGGCCTTTCTAGCCATAGCCCTTCCTTTTGTGATGTATTGTAAATTTGAGCCTCTACATCTGTGGTTATAAACCCATTTTGGAGGAAGTTATCTGTTCTTCTATGAGTCCTGATGGCTTCAATGCACAGCCCTGACCTCCCTCCATTGCAAATCAGCTGAAAATTACAAGGGAAACATTTTCAAGAATAAGGGTGCGGGGAAAGGACATAGAGCAAAGGTCACAAGTGTGATAAATGGGCCTGGGCTCCAATGTGGGAGAAAGCAATCTGGGTTCTCTCCCAAGAAGCACGGTTAGCAAAAAAGTTACATCTCCACCCACGTTATAAGATGGATGAGTCTAAAGCTGGCAACACTGGACCCAGACAAATGACAGAAGTACAAAGGTGATAAATTACATGGACTAGCATTGAGAGCACGACGTCTTTCCTGAGAAGGTTTCGGCTGTGGTTTAGGCAGCTGTTGTGTGCTGGGTGACAAGAAACTGCATGGAGATAGATAGATAGTCTGGTTTCCATACATTTCATGCTACTAATGGGAAACTGAATCCATTTTCTTCAGATAGGTCCCCATAGATTGTAAGAAGGTAAGACCCTTCTGCCACCAGGGCTAAACTCCTCTCAGAAAGCACAAAATAAATTGCACATGGAAGTTAATGTGGCTTTATGTTTTGAAAAGGCAGGAGTCTGGAAAAGAAAACATGAAAGCTTTTTCATCATTAAAACATAACAAGACAAAAATTGCTTTTCCTGCACTGTGAACAAATGAGGAGAACAAATACCAATGAACAGAGAGTGTTTATGCAGGATGTGAAAGTTTTTCCATTTATGGGATAGTCAGGGGCCAGATAAGGGAGGGCCATGCATTTCTTTAGCTGCAGGTGTGACACAAGAAGCTGCAGCCTGCATCTCGTCCCTGTCAGCAGGATGACTGCTCCCTTTGAAAACTCTTCTCAGACTTGGAATCACTGACAAATCAGACACCTGTGCACTGATAGTCACTACATCACTATGCCTAACAGGAAAGGTAGATAAAATCCAAATATCTATCAATGAGAACATGTATATAACAGCATTCCCTGTGTGCAGAGTAGAACTTCTCCACAGGGTTTCAAGACTGTGGCCTTTCATCGTTATTTGTTACTTGCTCTTGTGTTGTAGGTTTTTCTGTGTAGGGAACTGGTATGAGAAGGATTAGGAACCCTGAGTAATGGGACTGATGACAGAAGAGGAGAGTGAGGGCACTGGAGAGTCAACATCAGTGGGTATAAGAGTGAAGAAAAGGTTCCGAAGTTGACTGTGTCAATAATTGTGCATCCCATTGTGATATGATTGAGTTATTGAGTTGTAGGATATGTCCATTGTTGTGCAATAAAACTAAATGAATATACATCTCAGCTTCAAAACCGTTCTCTATATTAGTTTGGTTTCAGAAGCAGATAGCCAAACCTGTCTTCCTAGGAACCTTGGGTATGTTTAAACTTCTGATTTGGGGACTAGTAGCTGAACACTTAATTGTTCGCTCTGTCAGGGACTCTCAATGGAATATTAACTCTTTCATAAGGAGACAAAGAGGTCCTGACACATGCCAAATGGATGAAACTTAAACATATTATGCTGAACCGAACCAATACCTACCCCTCCCCACTTCTCCTGGACATCATTGAACTCTGATCTTCTGTACATAAACCATCAATATGGGAATGGATTTGGGGCTTGCATTTAATTCAGAGAAAAATTATTTCTTATGACATGAGCCTGCTTGATGCTTGCCCTCCTGAAGAGATCACTGAAGCTATGAGTGCTTCAGCAAAGAAAGTAGATGGTGCTTGGCTATCAAAAAGAATAGCATGTGGGGTCTTAAGGTTTGTCTTTAAACTAAGAGCCAACTAAGTGAGGTGTCAACTAAGTCCACATGGAAGAAATACACTAGCCTGTGTGATCCAAGGGTGATAAATAATGAAAGGAGAGAATGGTGTCAGGGTTTAAATTGTGAACATCTTATTTGCAAAAGGCGATGGATGAGAGTGTGAGCCCAAAATCCATTTGCCGGGTCCTTACATGGATTAAGCCTCCAGAGAATCTCCTCTGACCATAATCGAAGGGTATGAATAGCTTTGGTAGCAGACAGAAAGTATTATAAACTCGATGATGACATATATAATTAGGTTAAAATGTAATACTTGATCATTTGATCTCCCTTTTAATTCACTTTAAATTTGTTCTAATGTTTAATGTTTCCTGCATTTTTCTTGATTAAAGTTATTTCTCTGGTTTATTTTGTTTTTATTATTGGTCATCTATTTATTTGATTGTTTATTTTTTGCTTTATTGGCATGTTTTCCAGTATACAAAATCCAGGATAGGCAAATTTATAGATACAGTAATTGAATTCAGGGCTTATTGGGGAGAGAAGGATATAGTAAAATGGGGAATTAATGAGTATGAGGAAGAAAATGTCCTAGAGCTGAATGTAGTGCTGATTATGCAACCGCTTTTAATATGACTGAACTATGGAAGTGTGTGATATGTGAATTATATGTCAACAAAACTATTTAGGGAAAAAAACCCTCTGATTTGCATATATTTACCTATTATATGTATTTCAGACGCAATGTTTATATGCATACTTGTTCTTTTGTGATTGACTTATTAAATACCTAGAAGAGGTTCAAGAAGCATTGAGTTTTCTGTTTATGGGATTAGAAAATATGGCAAAGAAATATCATTGATACAAAATACCGGTGATGTAATTGACCTCATTGAATTGAATGTGTGGAAAATGTGGAATTGGAAAAGTTTGTATTTATATATTTGCAACCATTTCAAAAACACAAATCAGCACAAAGTGGGGGGATTTACCAGTGACAAACATTTCTTGGAGACTTACCGTTTTTGAAGGCATGACCCCAAGCACGGGGAACATTAAAGCCGGCAGCATCGCTGTTACTGACAGAGGCAATGCTTCTGTGAGCCAGAATACTGCAACAACAAAGAGGGTGTACGCACATTCTGCTTCCTGAAAGAACGAAAGGGGAACCCAGGTGAAGTCTCACGGTGTGAAGCACAACCCCATTGGCTGCAGGAGACCCGGTGCCACACTCCGGAAGGAGTGCGAAAGCCTCGCTTCCTTCGAATCAGGCAAGAAGTGACCATTTCTCAGAACTTCTAAGAGGCAGGTTTCATAAACAAGAAAAACAAGAGAGAAAGAAATTCTCCATCATGAGATTCTTCTCACATGTCTTTCTAAGCAAATAGCCATACATAACATATGGTCTGTGCTGACAGTAACACACACAGATGTTTGTACTTGCTTTCACGTGGCCTCTAAAACCCAAAACCACACTGCCATCCAGTTGATGCCAGCTCACAGTGAGCCCGTAGGACAAGGTGGAACTGCCCCCTCTGAGTTTCTGAGAAACTCACCTAGACCATCGAAAGTCATCTATCAAGGTTAGCCTACCTGTACGGCTTCATTTTGCTCTCACGCTGCTGAATCTCTGGGAATTCTCCGTTGCATTTGAACAATTTACAAAGCTTGTTTTCTACATTGAAAGAGCTCTTTTATTCCAGGTTTTTCCAGGGTAATACAATTTCTAGCTCTGCTGCCCCGTGATTCACACATCTGACCTGAACCCCTAGACCTTGCTATTCACTAATGCAGTCTCCCTGCATCACAGGGAGTTTCTAAGAAATCCTTAGTAACCTGGGATTATGTCATAGTTTTATCGTGCAGTCTTTTCAAAGAAGAAAGAGGAAAGGTGCTTATCCAGAATCTACCTCCAAGCAATGAAACAGCCCCACAACCCAGAACCTTGACTGAACCTGCAGGACTTGTTCTGTAGGGAAGGTGTGAATGCTGGCTGAGTTTCGAAAGCTAGTGTAGGACAAAGACCAGGCCACACATTTTCTCTTGGTAAGAACACATGCATACCCAAACGTTCCTTCCATGATTTTATGTTTTCTGTCATACTGGAATGAGCCCAGGATTCCTAGAAAAAAATGTCTTCTTCTCTAGGATCTATTTTGTCAATAAGAATTAAGTAGTAAAAAAAAAAAAAATTAAGTAGTTCCTGTTACTTGACATTGTCTTTTTTAAAAATCAATTTATTGGGGCTCATACAATTCATCACAATACATAGATCAATTGTGTAAAGCACATCTATACATTTGTTGCCCTCATTA